TATCAATCCTAGCATCATCAACATATACTTGTCCAGGGGACACTCCATTCTTATCACGTATTCTCATTCTACCATTCTACACAATAAGTCTCATGATAGTCACATGATGTACTTACTTGTCTAATTCAGGGACACAGTCAATTCCTTGTACTTTTGCTTCTTCAATAATTTGTTTCTTAAATTCTCCCACTGGTGTACCCTCAGTAACAATAGACTCCATCATAAATTTACAAAACTAAAAAATAAAATAAAAATTAATATAAAAATAATAAATATTCTTATGTATACCTCTGTATCATTAACTTGTAATAAATATAATTCAATTCTTTCCTCTCCTCTTCTTAATGTTCTACCCAGTCTTACTATCAACTAGTAGGTAAAGAAAGTAATAAAGAGATGAGTGTGTGTGTGTTATCACTTATTAGCACTTACTATGGGTGTGTGCTTATTGCCATAGCAACTTTGATGTGTTGCAGGTGTTATATGCCCATAACATGCATGCTTTTATAGTACTATTACTTGTTTTGACAAAGTGGTTTGACAAGTACAGTATAGCAGGAAATTTTGGAGGGAATTACATTTGACAAATTTAGCATTTTGATAACCATTCACCAAAATAAAATCCGCCATTTTCAGCCACTAATTCGCCAATAACGAAAATTTAGCAAGTCACCAAATTTTACTCCCTCCAAAATTTCTCGCTATACCGTAAACCAATGAAGCCATAGATAAGAATAGGGTATGCCGGACTCATTGTGGCATACCATATAGCGGAAAATTTTCGTGGCCCAAAAATTTTGTGGACCCGTTCAAAAATCATTTTCGTGGCTTTAATTGTTGTGGTTATCTACTTTTTGGCCATCGTAAACCATATTAAATTGATTTTTTGCGAATTTTATTTTTGTAAATTTTGAAAAAACGCAAAATTCACAAAAAATTTGGGCCACGAAAATTTCCCGCTATACCGTGTATAAATTAGATATAATGGAAAGGAGAAGTGAATAACAGACTAAACTATGTACCTCTGATCCAGATTCAATATTCATTAATATCATATCCAGTCTCTTCAGTTCATATTCTTTATTATCCCTGATTCTATACAGTCTAAAACTAGTAGGTGGTACACCAATCAGTGGAACTAGCTCCTTCTTCAATTGAGCTAATGTTATACTGTTACTAACTCGTACCTGTATCCCTGTATTGAATATAATGTTAAATTGTTAATGTTATATTACAAGTTATTATTACTTCTTTTATTTCCTTCTTCATTTATTGATATTCCTTCAGGTATGTTATTGTTAGTTGTAGTGGGTGTGGCTTCAGGTCCGGGAGCAAGAGGTAGTATAATGTTCAATTGTATTGAGTTGAAATGAAAATTAATATATTTGCACATCAAACTATCTTCAAATTCTTTCTTATAATCTTGAGGATCTGATGATGCGTATACACATAACTAAGAATAGCATGAATGTGTG